AAAAAAAAAAACATCTTAGTAAAACCAATACCTTCTCAGCTTCGCATCGAAGCTAAAATGATTTTCTTTAAATTTGGGGTTTTACAATTATAATCAATTTTATAATACGCTCAATTTAGTAAATATTTTTAACATCTTTTGAATGTTTTTTTTAATTTCGCATCGAAATTAATTTATTTTTATAATTAATTACACAGTAAAATCAAATCACTAAAATGAAATATATTTCAATGACAATTGAACAATATATACTTTGCTTAACTGAATTTTTATGCTGATTTCAAATATGAAATTAGATTATTTTTACCATAACTTTTTGAGATTATTACTAAGTAGAAAACGATTATTTACACATGAAATAATTATTTAAAATTAAAACTAATAATTTTATATTTATTATTGAGTCCCATAAGCGAAACTACTCTACCTTTGTGTTAAATCACGCAAAAAAAAAAAATGAAATGACTTTTCAATGACTAATGTTCTTTTTTTGGTTGTTGTGATCTAGTGAAACTTAGAGATCTTAGTCTACTAGTTAGATAAGGATATTAAGAATACAAATTAAATTAACTCTCCTAGATTTCGTTCTTCGATTTGCTATTAAAAATAGTCGAATCAATGTAGTAAGATCACATTAACAACTTTTTGATTACTACTAATTAATATTCAACGATATTTTTACAAAATACCAAATTTAAATTCTCATAAAATGTTCTATTTAATAATTTCAATATCACACTATTAGCACAGTTGAGCTAGAAAACTATTGAATATTTTTAAATTATAAGATTTCATAAAAATCAACTTTTTAAGATGAAAATAATAGGTTAAAAAAGAAATTTTTAATCGAAAACTTTCACCGATTATTTTTAACATATTAAAAGTCATAATTAATAATAATATGAAAATAAATGGTTCTGTTTTTATTATTTTTTTATGTAGATACTCGTATTTTACTAATTAGTAATAATCTTAATAAAGGGGTGATAGAAAAATCTAATTCTAGATTTCAAATCGATATAAATGGGTTTATAAAAGTATATTTAGGTCTCTGATGAAAATTACTTATATATCAATAAATTTAATCATAAGTAACAAATAATTTTTTTTTTAAGTATAACCTTTCAATTTTTACGCACGTTTGCCATATATAATGTTTATAATTTATCTGTAATTTTTACAATATTAAATTATTGATTAACAGTTTCATGGTAAATTTAATTACTATATTTAGTATTTATTCATATATTATTTTTATAAATCAAAGATCTACTTATCATAAATAGGACATAATTAAGGAAATAGCGGTTGATGTTATTTTTAGAATAATCCACCAATTTTTTTAAATTAAACAATACCTACAGATTTACATCGAAGCGTTTCTTATGATAGTGATTTTAATCACTGTCAAATGTCATCTATACTTCACTCAACTTTGTCACGTCCCCACTGTACCGCGACACCACTGAGCTACTGTTTTTATAATTATTATTTAATTTACAAGTGGGACTACTTTACTACTGGTAAACCGCTTTTGGAGTCATACTTTTTTTACACAACACAGGCCCGGCGTAGCTGTGTACTCCTATCTGTAAGAAAGAACAGTCCAAAGAGCCTAGGGCGGAGCACCAGCTAGGTGAAGCCTATCACTCAAATAAAAATGCTAAACATATTGCTAAAATAAAAATCTAAAAATAAACCAAATGGAATAACCCAGCCTTCTTTCAATTGTTTTCATATTAAAATTTATCATTTGTAGGCCCTTCAGACGTTCGAAGTAACGGACACCGGATACTTTGACTTGGAAGTCGCTGGTAAGCAAATTGGAAGAATGGAAATAGGTTTATTCGGACGATTGGCTCCCAAGACTGTGGAAAACTTTATAACAATACTCACAAAAGGTATCGATGGACAGACGTATGTCGGCACCAGATTTCACAGAATCCTTAAAGGACTTGTGATTCAAGGTTAGGTATAATTAGAGCTGAATTAAAATTTGTGAGGATGCTAAGACCTACAGTTTAGTAAATTAATTCTCAAAAATTGTTCCGTTTTTAATTTTTAGCATTTTGTTTATTATATTTTCTTTGAACCTGTCGAATATTTTATCTTAAAAAAAAATGCTTCAGTTGTTTTAAATAAAATACAAAAACACGTTTAGCAGTTTTTGTAAAACAGTCCAGTGTTTTATACCTTAAATTTCTAATACTGTCACAAGCAAATAAAAATAATTAATTATTTAATTAAATTTTTGCACGGAATTCTGGAAATCGTCACGTATATTAAGTATTTGTATCCTTTGGGATATACGTCCAATATTTAATTGGAATCTAAATAGTCGTACTGAATCAAATAAAAAAACTGTGGAAATTTCAATTTATATAACAAAATGTTATGCTTAATTAATACATTAATGATTAGTAACTTTATTTTAATAATTGATAGCTAATATTTTTACTGAAATAAATATTTATAATGGTTTCAATAAATATCTTATTGATTTTAATCAATTACCGTAACAGAACATGTGCTATAAAAATCGAAGTTACGATTGATCCAAGTATAGTTTTAATTACATAATAATAGACTGATTTTGTTAATTTTACAACTTTTATCAGAATATTGGAAAACCATTTATTGTCACAGCATAACTTTGAATTGCGAATTGATACCTTAACGAATAGTTAAATTTTATTTACACTATTTTGCAATGTTTAACATTAATATCTTAATTTAGCGTGGCTATACAATTGTAGTGTTTAGTTTATTAGGCTTATATGCTTTTTTAATTTCGATGTAATTGTATGGTCGTCCATTTTATAATATAGCGCCACTATGCCACTAGACCGGGTGCCTTGACAAATACGTTGCTCGTCACCGCGACCCGCGAGTCAGTCGAGCAATGTATGACGAATGGATTTTAGGCGGATGGTATGGCACCTCATCTTAAGGGTTCACAGCTTACATCCGTTATCATCTGTTATCTCTCTGAATAAACGGTTCTCTGTATATATAAGAAAACTATTATGTGATATGATTGAGAAATAATAAGTCAGGTTGCTCAGTAGGCATAAGGAAAACTGTATTTGATTCGAATGTCATGTACATATATCAATATTACCATTAGTATTGTGATAATCCATAAGGCGGGATGCAGGATACCCTGTCAATTGGCTTCAGGTCGGTGGCATAACATCAGCAACAAAGTCATCGTGATGATTTTTTAACACCAAATCAACTCTTGAAGTTGAAGATACACAATAGAACATCGTGTCAAAAAATTTGTCTCTTTGTGATTTAGGTTCATGGCGGGTGTCAATTTTTTCAATGTACATTTTAAATATGTAATCTTAGTGCCAAGTATTCTTTTGTTTTTCGTCTTACGCAATACTTGTTCAACTATATTTTTACGTTCCGTCGTTCTAATGTGAATTCAAATGTTATCATAACGGCAGCCGTGTCGTGCCGGTCGTTCAGCAAGTCACTGATACTTATCTAGTGCCGCCGCCGTTGAAATCGGTTGGGTTCTGCGCAACTCGTATGGACACGGCGGTCGCTTATCTGCAATTACAATCTCCAGCCAATTTTTTTCGACTGCCTGGGCGAGTTTTTTAGATTTGTATCGAGAACACGATGACTATCGGATGCATTAAATATTGTAAGTTAAAACGCGACTTGTACACGCCATAGGAATGGTATCTACACGCTGGCGTTGTCATTAGATTGGGCCAAACTGATTATTAACATTTTATTTTTGTTTTGCATTACTACGAATTTTCTTATCTGATTTATATTTTTCCATACACTGACTGATAATATTCGTGTTATTATTCCCAAAGTTTGTACATTATTTAAAGTAAATTTTTTTCTTACAGAACTTAACACAAGTGTCTCTTATAATTCATGATTTCATCAAACCTTTTTCTTGATATTGTCTTTCAATGAACATCTAAATTTTAGCCCGTTATCAGCTAATAACATTCTATAACTAACTACAAGTTCATTAACTTTGAACACAAATCTAATATGTTTACTATAAATATTTCCTTAATAATAAAATCTTATATTTTTTTAGTGAATATTTTATGAACGCTAATTAAACGGCTAAAAATTACTTTTTATAATCACTTGGCATGTTTATACTTATATTTGATATAGATCTAATGTAAGCTTGATCATTTTCAGGAATGGTTAAAAATTTTAAAAAGTGTGGGTTAAAATTTGAAATATTGAATATTACTTAATAATTGTAATACTGTATCTTTATTGAAGGTGATACGATACTAACAAATATGGTTCCTACAATACTTAGAGACTTACAGAATCATTTTGAATAATGATTACATTTTCATAAATTTCAAGAAAACAGAAGAATTCTACATTGCAAATTTGCTTTATGCTGTAAATATGTTAGATCCTATGTAAGTAATTAATAACCTGCAAAACAGCTCAGATTACTGATGGTGTAGATGAAGGCATAATTTTAGCTGAATTTGCTCAGTAAAAAGATTATGGAGCAAATTATTAGTCTGGGATACTGATAACAAAACATCAGCTACTACTTGGTAGAATGATTTGTGTTCTTCCTCTATGCTATTTAAAATTGCGAAAAAAATAATTCAACAACCTACATTTTAGCTGCACGTGAAACGATATTTAACTCGTATGGAAATTATATTTACACTTCAAAGGCTTATTATTGATCGTGCTTAGAAATTAGTATATATCAATTATAATCATAATTTAAAACTTTTGAAAAAAAAAGAGAAATTAAGGCTATAATTGATGATAATATAGTCGATTGTCCCTTACAATCAATGCCTGCCAAAATAAAAATCAAGGTATAAGATTTCAAATGAATGAGAAGAAAAATTAAATTTTATAAATACCTATGAGTATCTAAGTTCTAAAAAATAACTATCAACTATTACTGATTTTTGTTGTTTTATTTTACTATAAAAATAGTTTTATGTAAAAAAAATATATAACGGTTTAATTTATATACTTAATCTACAATTTCTAATTTTTTCACTACTCCCTATGTACAATTTTAGTGTGCATTATATCTTTTATTTGTATACCCGTAAAATATTATTATCTCTGTTCAACTTTATTATCTATATAACTATAACTTAATGTCTCTACTAACTTGTATAATTGCTAAGAAAGAATCCTTAACTGCTAAAGCAATCAATTCTAATTTTTAGATAGTATTTAATTTTAAAAAATTGGTGGATTATTCCAAAAGCAACATGATCTGCTAGTTCGTTATTAATATCCTGATTCAGATAAAGTATATCGAATGAAAAAGGGATTATTAAAAATTATTATTTCTCATAAAAAAAATTATGTTGATCCATACACTTTTCAATAAGTTATAGCATTATAAAGTTAAAAATGTAAAAAATAAAATCGAAAATTTTCACACAAAAATAGAATTCGATAGCCATTTTCATCGTGAAGATAAAATAAAGTCTGACNTACACTTTTCAATAAGTTATAGCATTATAAAGTTAAAAATGTAAAAAATAAAATCGAGAATTTTCACACAAAAATAGAATTCGATAGCCATTTTCATCGTGAAGATAAAATAAAGTCTGACANTTATGCTGATTTCAAATATGAAATTAGATTATTTTTACCATAACTTTTTGAGATTATTACTAAGTAGAAAACGATTATTTACACATGAAATAATTATTTAAAATTAAAACTAATAATTTTATATTTATTATTGAGTCCCATAAGCGAAACTACTCTACCTTTGTGTTAAATCACGCAAAAAAAAAAAATGAAATGACTTTTCAATGACTAATGTTCTTTTTTTGGTTGTTGTGATCTAGTGAAACTTAGAGATCTTAGTCTACTAGTTAGATAAGGATATTAAGAATACAAATTAAATTAACTCTCCTAGATTTCGTTCTTCGATTTGCTATTAAAAATAGTCGAATCAATGTAGTAAGAGCACATTAACAACTTTTTGATTACTACTAATTAATATTCAACGATATTTTTACAAAATACCAAATTTAAATTCTCATAAAATGTTCTATTTAATAATTTCAATATCACACTATTAGCACAGTTGAGCTAGAAAACTATTGAATATTTTTAAATTATAAGATTTCATAAAAATCAACTTTTTAAGATGAAAATAATAGGTTAAAAAAGAAATTTTTAATCGAAAACTTTCACCGATTATTTTTAACATATTAAAAGTCATAATTAATAATAATATGAAAATAAATGGTTCTGTTTTTATTATTTTTTTATGTAGATACTCGTATTTTACTAATTAGTAATAATCTTAATAAAGGGGTGATAGAAAAATCTAATTCTAGATTTCAAATCGATATAAATGGGTTTATAAAAGTATATTTAGGTCTCTGATGAAAATTACTTATATATCAATAAATTTAATCATAAGTAACAAATAATTTTTTTTTTAAGTATAACCTTTCAATTTTTACGCACGTTTGCCATATATAATGTTTATAATTTATCTGTAATTTTTACAATATTAAATTATTGATTAACAGTTTCATGGTAAATTTAATTACTATATTTAGTATTTATTCATATATTATTTTTATAAATCAAAGATCTACTTATCATAAATAGGACATAATTAAGGAAATAGCGGTTGATGTTATTTTTAGAATAATCCACCAATTTTTTTAAATTAAACAATACCTACAGATTTACATCGAAGCGTTTCTTATGATAGTGATTTTAATCACTGTCAAATGTCATCTATACTTCACTCAACTTTGTCACGTCCCCACTGTACCGCGACACCACTGAGCTACTGTTTTTATAATTATTATTTAATTTACAAGTGGGACTACTTTACTACTGGTAAACCGCTTTTGGAGTCATACTTTTTTTACACAACACAGGCCCGGCGTAGCTGTGTACTCCTATCTGTAAGAAAGAACAGTCCAAAGAGCCTAGGGCGGAGCACCAGCTAGGTGAAGCCTATCACTCAAATAAAAATGCTAAACATATTGCTAAAATAAAAATCTAAAAATAAACCAAATGGAATAACCCAGCCTTCTTTCAATTGTTTTCATATTAAAATTTATCATTTGTAGGCCCTTCAGACGTTCGAAGTAACGGACACCGGATACTTTGACTTGGAAGTCGCTGGTAAGCAAATTGGAAGAATGGAAATAGGTTTATTCGGACGATTGGCTCCCAAGACTGTGGAAAACTTTATAACAATACTCACAAAAGGTATCGATGGACAGACGTATGTCGGCACCAGATTTCACAGAATCCTTAAAGGACTTGTGATTCAAGGTTAGGTATAATTAGAGCTGAATTAAAATTTGTGAGGATGCTAAGACCTACAGTTTAGTAAATTAATTCTCAAAAATTGTTCCGTTTTTAATTTTTAGCATTTTGTTTATTATATTTTCTTTGAACCTGTCGAATATTTTATCTTAAAAAAAAATGCTTCAGTTGTTTTAAATAAAATACAAAAACACGTTTAGCAGTTTTTGTAAAACAGTCCAGTGTTTTATACCTTAAATTTCTAATACTGTCACAAGCAAATAAAAATAATTAATTATTTAATTAAATTTTTGCACGGAATTCTGGAAATCGTCACGTATATTAAGTATTTGTATCCTTTGGGATATACGTCCAATATTTAATTGGAATCTAAATAGTCGTACTGAATCAAATAAAAAAACTGTGGAAATTTCAATTTATATAACAAAATGTTATGCTTAATTAATACATTAATGATTAGTAACTTTATTTTAATAATTGATAGCTAATATTTTTACTGAAATAAATATTTATAATGGTTTCAATAAATATCTTATTGATTTTAATCAATTACCGTAACAGAACATGTGCTATAAAAATCGAAGTTACGATTGATCCAAGTATAGTTTTAATTACATAATAATAGACTGATTTTGTTAATTTTACAACTTTTATCAGAATATTGGAAAACCATTTATTGTCACAGCATAACTTTGAATTGCGAATTGATACCTTAACGAATAGTTAAATTTTATTTACACTATTTTGCAATGTTTAACATTAATATCTTAATTTAGCGTGGCTATACAATTGTAGTGTTTAGTTTATTAGGCTTATATGCTTTTTTAATTTCGATGTAATTGTATGGTCGTCCATTTTATAATATAGCGCCACTATGCCACTAGACCGGGTGCCTTGACAAATACGTTGCTCGTCACCGCGACCCGCGAGTCAGTCGAGCAATGTATGACGAATGGATTTTAGGCGGATGGTATGGCACCTCATCTTAAGGGTTCACAGCTTACATCCGTTATCATCTGTTATCTCTCTGAATAAACGGTTCTCTGTATATATAAGAAAACTATTATGTGATATGATTGAGAAATAATAAGTCAGGTTGCTCAGTAGGCATAAGGAAAACTGTATTTGATTCGAATGTCATGTACATATATCAATATTACCATTAGTATTGTGATAATCCATAAGGCGGGATGCAGGATACCCTGTCAATTGGCTTCAGGTCGGTGGCATAACATCAGCAACAAAGTCATCGTGATGATTTTTTAACACCAAATCAACTCTTGAAGTTGAAGATACACAATAGAACATCGTGTCAAAAAATTTGTCTCTTTGTGATTTAGGTTCATGGCGGGTGTCAATTTTTTCAATGTACATTTTAAATATGTAATCTTAGTGCCAAGTATTCTTTTGTTTTTCGTCTTACGCAATACTTGTTCAACTATATTTTTACGTTCCGTCGTTCTAATGTGAATTCAAATGTTATCATAACGGCAGCCGTGTCGTGCCGGTCGTTCAGCAAGTCACTGATACTTATCTAGTGCCGCCGCCGTTGAAATCGGTTGGGTTCTGCGCAACTCGTATGGACACGGCGGTCGCTTATCTGCAATTACAATCTCCAGCCAATTTTTTTCGACTGCCTGGGCGAGTTTTTTAGATTTGTATCGAGAACACGATGACTATCGGATGCATTAAATATTGTAAGTTAAAACGCGACTTGTACACGCCATAGGAATGGTATCTACACGCTGGCGTTGTCATTAGATTGGGCCAAACTGATTATTAACATTTTATTTTTGTTTTGCATTACTACGAATTTTCTTATCTGATTTATATTTTTCCATACACTGACTGATAATATTCGTGTTATTATTCCCAAAGTTTGTACATTATTTAAAGTAAATTTTTTTCTTACAGAACTTAACACAAGTGTCTCTTATAATTCATGATTTCATCAAACCTTTTTCTTGATATTGTCTTTCAATGAACATCTAAATTTTAGCCCGTTATCAGCTAATAACATTCTATAACTAACTACAAGTTCATTAACTTTGAACACAAATCTAATATGTTTACTATAAATATTTCCTTAATAATAAAATCTTATATTTTTTTAGTGAATATTTTATGAACGCTAATTAAACGGCTAAAAATTACTTTTTATAATCACTTGGCATGTTTATACTTATATTTGATATAGATCTAATGTAAGCTTGATCATTTTCAGGAATGGTTAAAAATTTTAAAAAGTGTGGGTTAAAATTTGAAATATTGAATATTACTTAATAATTGTAATACTGTATCTTTATTGAAGGTGATACGATACTAACAAATATGGTTCCTACAATACTTAGAGACTTACAGAATCATTTTGAATAATGATTACATTTTCATAAATTTCAAGAAAACAGAAGAATTCTACATTGCAAATTTGCTTTATGCTGTAAATATGTTAGATCCTATGTAAGTAATTAATAACCTGCAAAACAGCTCAGATTACTGATGGTGTAGATGAAGGCATAATTTTAGCTGAATTTGCTCAGTAAAAAGATTATGGAGCAAATTATTAGTCTGGGATACTGATAACAAAACATCAGCTACTACTTGGTAGAATGATTTGTGTTCTTCCTCTATGCTATTTAAAATTGCGAAAAAAATAATTCAACAACCTACATTTTAGCTGCACGTGAAACGATATTTAACTCGTATGGAAATTATATTTACACTTCAAAGGCTTATTATTGATCGTGCTTAGAAATTAGTATATATCAATTATAATCATAATTTAAAACTTTTGAAAAAAAAAGAGAAATTAAGGCTATAATTGATGATAATATAGTCGATTGTCCCTTACAATCAATGCCTGCCAAAATAAAAATCAAGGTATAAGATTTCAAATGAATGAGAAGAAAAATTAAATTTTATAAATACCTATGAGTATCTAAGTTCTAAAAAATAACTATCAACTATTACTGATTTTTGTTGTTTTATTTTACTATAAAAATAGTTTTATGTAAAAAAAGTATATAACGGTTTAATTTATATACTTAATCTACAATTTCTAATTTTTTCACTACTCCCTATGTACAATTTTAGTGTGCATTATATCTTTTATTTGTATACCCGTAAAATATTATTATCTCTGTTCAACTTTATTATCTATATAACTATAACTTAATGTCTCTACTAACTTGTATAATTGCTAAGAAAGAATCCTTAACTGCTAAAGCAATCAATTCTAATTTTTAGATAGTATTTAATTTTAAAAAATTGGTGGATTATTCCAAAAGCAACATGATCTGCTAGTTCGTTATTAATATCCTGATTCAGATAAAGTATATCGAATGAAAAAGGGATTATTAAAAATTATTATTTCTCATAAAAAAAATTATGTTGATCCATACACTTTTCAATAAGTTATAGCATTATAAAGTTAAAAATGTAAAAAATAAAATCGAGAATTTTCACACAAAAATAGAATTCGATAGCCATTTTCATCGTGAAGATAAAATAAAGTCTGACATTTTTTTTTTCATGATAAAGTATATTACATTAGCTTTAATTTAAGATATATATAAAAGTGTTAGACCTTCCGGAACATTTTCAAAAATCAAGTTGAAAAAATTAATTTTTTGTGAAAAAGTTGCCATTTTAAATCCCCCCCTGTAGGCAAGTAAAGGGTCACATATAAAAAAAAAATATACCAAATGAAAGGTAATGATATCATGCATCTATATAAAAAAATTTTTTATTGATTCGGTTATTTTTAAAAAAGTTATAGCAATTTTAAGTAAAAAATATTTCGAAAATTAGCGATTTTTAAATTTATAATTTTTTTGGAGGTTTCCCCCCATTTACGGGGAAAATTTTACAATTTTTGAGGGTAATGTCTTGGACTAGATACGATTTGTGATCTTTTGACGTATCATTGAAAGAAATCGGTTCGGTGAGAGCTGAGAAAAAGTGGTAACAGACACAAAAAAAAAAAAAAAAACACATCTTAGTAAAACCAATACCTTCTCAGTTTCGCATCGAAGCTAAAATTTTATGAATTTTGGATTTAATAGTCGATCACTACTAGAAACAAAGTTTTCGGTTAGTTTTCATTTTAAAGTACATTGTAATAGCTTTTATTTAACCCAAGTTCAAATAACACAGGTTTTTTTATAACATAATCAAAAATTGACAAAAGAAAAAATGTCTGCATTATATTTAAGCTCTCTACTAGTACTTGGTTTAATGATAGGAATTTCAAAAAAAGTATGGCAAAAAAAAACTTAAATTTCTAATATATTGCCAGTATAAATTTCGTTATGATTTTTGCAGTTGACAAAAATGTATTTAATTATAAACAATAACTTAGTAAATATACATAATTTAAGTATTTTATATTCAGTTTGTTCAGTGTGTCGTAATTTTTATTACCTTTAATTTTAAAAGAATAGATAAAATAAAATGGTCATCAAAATGTCCAAGTGGAACTAAAAAAAATTGTTTTCGACGCAGTGTAAATAATTAAGAGTACGCTAAATAAAATTTTAATACTAAAATTTCTATTAAAACCAACCTACTTGACAATAATATAAAACTACATAAAAATTATAGGTGGAGATATTGTTAATAACGATGGAAGTGGTTCAATAAGTATTTACGGAGACACGTTTCCAGATGAAATACTGACAATAAACCACACAGAAATGGGATTCGTAGGCATGGCCAATTCGGGTAATTTTCTATTATGTTGATTTCTATGCTATGAAATTTAGTAGTCTCGCAGCCTTACGGAGATATACTTGCATGTTTTGTGATGACTTTTCAGGAAAAATTTGGTTGAGTGATTTTATATTATGAATTAAGAACTATCCTACAAACACTATGATTATTTAAAACAAATGCACTACAGATAAATACCATTGCAAATTATAACTACTAAAATGTTTTTAACGTCTAAAAATAATTGATACACACACATTATATTATAATATGTTAAAAAATTAAACACTAATCTTCGATTTTTAAATGTTTACCAATGAAAACATAACAAATAATTATGCTAAAATTTACAAAAAGTATCAATTTAAAATGAATTCCTTTAAATTATCTATACTGAAAAATCAGTATCATTACTTCCATGCAACGTCTTAAAAGTACAATTTGTACTTACATATTTTAATGATTAATTATGTTAAGACTAGAAATTTCTATTAACGCCTAAGTGTTACAAGAAGTGTTGAATTCAGGTATACTTTAGATGATACACGAGCCCCCATCAAAACTAAGCTACTTTTAACATTTTTTAGCGATTTTTAGTCAATTATTGAATTTAAAACCTTTTTTTTATCGTTCATAAACTTTTATTTGTAAAATGAATATTTTTTTTTTTTGCCAATGCTTATCGAGCCCTCCATGGAGAAAATATCTGAATTCAATACTGGTTATAAGAAATATCCATTAATATATTAATGTTTAGTGTTAAGAAAGTATTTACAATTTTAATCACAAGTTACTTTTCAAAATTTGTTACTAATATAAAAAGAAATCTGATCATCTGCTTGTTGGTCAATGTTCCGTCAGCGATCAATTTATTAAATTTTTACTCTTTCTTGATACCACTAATCCGTGTAGTGATCACTGGGTGTAAAACACCAGTTCGTCATGTTTAATTGAATATCGTAACCATAATCTATACAGTGTTTTTAATTGAAATGTATGATAGTGTCTAGAAATTTAAAGAGGAAGAGTAGAAGTTGAGGAATTTATAATTTTATAAACCAATGATACTTCTGCAAAGAATAATGTGATTAATTGCAACTGTCAGAATAATATTTAGGACCAGATACAAATGGGTGTCAGTTTTATATTACAACTAAACCATTATCAAGGTTGGACGGAAAACATGTTGTTTTTGGAAAATTGGTCAACGGACTGGATATATTGTACAAAATTGAACACCTTCCGACCGATGCTATTGGACGGCCTAACATGGAAATCCGTATTAAAAGTTGTGGACTCCTAGAGAAAAAACCTCCTTACACCATAACAGATCATTCGAATAAGTGAGTCTCTGATTAACAATTTAAAAATCCTTCTAATTAAGGATTCTAAACCTTAAGGAAATAAGAATATATTTGCTAGTTTTTGTAACCATTTTAAAATTGTTAGTTTCACCGTGATAATTTGTATATTCATAACAATAAATGTAATTTTCTAAATTTTTTACAATAGCTAAAAAATCTCTCTTAAAACCACCCCTTATATATTATATACCATCCCTTTATATGCCTAAGTCCTTATTGTACTGGTTTGACTTTTGTAAGAAAATAGCTATGCCTATTAGTCAGTGTTAGCGCTAAATATTGCAGGACCAACGCAAAAACTTTTTTTTGCTTTTTATTTATGTGTTTATTTATGATTTTCATAAATCCTAAGTCAGTGTATTGGTAGCTTTTTCTTCCAGCCGGCTCTCCTATTAGTTGTTTATTTTTTTATTACGAAATAAGCTAAAATGTTAATTACATTTTTTTCTAGATTAGAACTTTGGAAATGGATTAAGGCATCATCAATTCCTCTTACAATGTCTACATTAATTTTAGGACTGTTTCAATGGATGATTATTCAGATGAATAAAGTAATAAATTGACTTTATGAATGATGCTATACAAAAAAATAAATAAATATTTATTTACTTTATCTATTTATTATTTACTTATCTTTAAATCAAGATTAACCCTTTTAATTCCAATTGCCATCTCAATGGCATTCATTTGTTTACTTATTTTTGGTGCTCTAAGCTATTAAATAGTTACAGAATGATGAATTAAACACCTGGATATGCGTCTCGATGACATCTCACAAGAGAAATTATAAAAAAGATAAACCGTTATTATTTTAGGTGATAATTCGAAAAAGCCAAATAGTTTTTATTTCTGAAAATCCTTATTTACAATGAGCTGATGAAATTTCTCTATCTTTATTAAAAGTAAATTAGTAAATTATGTATTAAGACTAAATTTTACAAACATGTTTATATACTCTGCTGAATTATACTCTAATTATTGTTTATTAAACAAGTTTTAATGATTAAATTTGATTTAAGGTTTTATTTTAACACTGAATTTGAAACTACAAAATAAATTCTAATGAGATTGATACCGTAACTTAATATTTCAATATTAAGTACTAAAAAAAAAAAACAATAATAATTTTTATTGTAGTAACAAATTACATAAAGTGAATTATTTGTAAAATTCTACAATAAATTTGTTACATTGACATGGTTGCTGAGCAATAGCAGCCGGTAATCGAATGTATACCAGAAATCATGTACAAAAAAGAAACACACTATGATATTAGACCGCGCGAATAAAGTCAACATAGAGACAAATCTTATCGCTAGGCCATCACGAACTTATGATTCAGATTCCAATACACTTCTGTATAGGTTGATAATGTGTATGTGGCTGGAGGAACATAGAACAGTATCAAGACATCAAGCAATAAATTAAATTTACACTATTTTCATATTATTGTCTCATTATAAATTCAGTATTTTTTAATATTAAATTAAAATAAATTATAAACTATAAAATAATTAACAAGAAATTTGATAAAAAAAAATAAAAAGTAATCAAATAGGGAAAGTTTTCAGTCTTTTAGTACTAGGTGCATGGAAAAATGCAAAATAACAATAGTATTCTGTCAAAAAATAGAAATTCAAAGTAAAAATGTTTGAAATGCTATTTACAAATAAATTTTTGTGTAATAGTATTTATGTAACAAAACTATAATTAATTTAATAATATTGTTATGTCATCTATACATTATTTTCGAAAAAAAAAAACAATATTAAGAAACAACATAGTTTTGATGAAATTAACAAACATGATTTTAATTTTAAAATATAATGGTAATATGAAACTATTCATTTATTAAAAGAAAAATGTTTAACTTNTATAATGGTAATATGAAACTATTAATTTATTAAAAGAAAAATGTTTAACTTTGATTTGTAGTGGATGTATGGCCTTTAGGACCAAAATCTGGAGTTTTTTTGTTGGACAAATTCATAAAATTTTTTTCAACCCTAATGAGATCCATATAAATTTGGGTTGATTTGCAATCAACTATTCTACAACATTGTTGCATAAACCATAAAAATGAACNACTATTCTACAACATTGCTGCATAAACCATAAAAATGAACTAGGTAATTGTTCATCAAAAACTTTATTTATTTTAGTCATATTTGTATTTTTAAGAAATTTTATTTTATAGTGAATAGACCAATAGTTTATACCTGTCCCTAAATATATTGAGTTCTGTTTTTTATTAATAAAATCTAATGTTTCAATTTTTTTAGTCTGAGTTCTCTCTATTGGCCAATCGATTAGTTGTACATTAACTTTAGCTGTAGTTGATAAATGTTTACCACTATATGGGTCCGATAAATCTTTTTTCTCATTTTTTCTTTTGATGTAGTGTAGAGGTTTATCAAATTTTATATCTACTGGAACTCTGCAAATTCTTGATAAATTTTTTAATCTAAATTAACAATAAAGTATTTTTAGAAAAAAAAAAGTATCTATTAATATATTTATTAAAAACAAACAATATTGTTATGAATGAGTTGAAACTTTTATGGNTAATCTAAATTAACAATAAAGTATTGTTAGAAAAAAAAAAAGTATCTATTAATACATTTATTAAAAACAAACAATATTGTTATGAATGTGTTGAAACTTTCATAGATTGTCTTATTATTTGAAAAGCTTGAGGATTTATCCATGTTTGCAGTTGATTGCTGACGTTTCGGACTCATTGCAGAGTCCGAAACGTCAGCAATTAACTGCAAACATGGATAAATCCACAAGCTTTTCAAATAAAACAATATTGTATTTAACATATTGTTTATTATCAAAAATAGTGAATTTTATACCATTTAATCACAATTTAATTTTTTGCAAGACTCATTTATAGATAAATTAATTAACTAGCTTATAATTTTTAATTTTCTATGTTTGTGAAGAAACATAAAAATGAAAAATGTTCAGTTCTTCTCACTAGCAATATATTAAATATATATAGAGACTTTATT